AAATATACAACAGTTCATAGGTTTATAACAATTGGCGTAATTAGATAGTGTTAATTTGTGTCAAGACATATGACTACTTAGAATAGAAATAACACTAATAAGAAATAATAATATAGTTTTGATTTTTCCTTTAAACCTCAACTTTATGCATCCTGACTTTTCCATATAACACAAGGCTAAAGAGCACTGATTCAATGAAAATACATACGTCAACGGTAACCGCTCAAATGAATTAATACTTATAGCAATGCACCATAACAAAAACATAGAACTAATTGTATCAAATTCTAGCAAGTATTGCAAAAGAATTAGAAATTCTAATTCTAAAACTCAAGCAGTATTCATAATAACACTGAAATACTAATTGTAAGGCTTATTGATCCTTCACTTTTTTAGCACATTTCATGTACATGTTATATTTTAAAATTCCAATATTAAACATACAAACCATTTGGTTTTTCTTAAAATTTGAAATATTTATTTTTTATTTTAACAACAACGATTTTATATTGATAGAAAAATGTTATGCATAATATAATTTAATTTATAAAATGATAAAGAGATTTACAATAAATAAAATATCAAAGTAAGTAAATTCATATAGAGTAAGAAATAGTTGGCCTATGAGATTGAGAGGCGTGTAGTCACTGTTCTAAAGCCATTGTTCCTCCTCACGTGAAGTTACAACCTGAGTGCAACAATTCCAAGATACAACCCAAACCTACAGTCTTCCTCATCCGATGTTCACGTCCACCAAGAGAATATGAACGAGTCATGAACCATAGTTGCCTAGAAATATATAAAATAGATAAAGTACTCTCCTATTAAAACTCAATATTTCATATACATATGTCTTCTTATGTTTCTTGTGTGTGCCCTTCATCTATAGGAAACATAGGATTATATAGGCGAAAATCTTCTAAGAATTAGCGCATAACAATTAATCATAACATAATTACAATAATAATAATCTCTTTGTAGCCAAAATGCTTAAAACCAATATTAATGTTAATAACGGTCAAAATTAAATAAAAATAATTATTTTATTTTTCTTAAAATTCCAACAAATATAAGTCCAAGGATGTGGCTTTCTCTGTGAATGATCTAGTCTTCAACCTACCAGCAGTTAGAGGCCGTCGGATTTAGTAAGGGTTGGGCCTGCTGTTTTTGCTGCAGTAGCAGCTTTGTTTTGTTATGTTGATGGTTGAATTCTTTTTAACCATATCTTAGGGTGCTGGAGCTGATTGGGCAAGTTCATGATTGTGATCATTAAGATATAATTATTTTGATACTATTGAAATTGCATATGACCATGTCTTTAAGAATACAACATTAAGTGACTTTAGAAGTTGAACCATAAAGGAACATTCATAATAATTAAGAGGTGTATACATGTAGAACGTGGGTGATTATTTAGTATTCTCAGAATATGGGCACGTGGTGTTCCATAAAGTTTTAATTGGTACAGAGGGATAGGGACTTACAATTTATGTTAAGGCTGAGGAAACAATACGAGATTAAATGATTGATAATTAGTTTAGAGTATGGTCCCGTTATGTTCCAGAATTATTCAATAATTCCCCGTAAAACATGAGAACCATGTGATCACTCTTAAAGTTGGGGGTGGTGGAAGGGGAACCTTATCAATTTAGGTCTACCTTTCGATAGTTTCTTTGACCACAAAACCTTAGAAAGTTAAGAAACTCATCAGGGTTCAATCTTGGATCACAACTTTGTACCAACCTTTGATTACAAGCGAAGCACTATGCATTGGATTTAACTTCACTTTTCACTTCACATGTGGAGTAGATACAAAGATTATAATTGGAGCAGACCATACATATAATTGCAATATTATGGCATTTTACCTTTTTTCTGTATTTTTTTTTTTTTAAATGCCTGTACTGGGTTTAATTGGTTCCAAGATGAGAGAGAAGACTACTAATTTTAATATTATTTTCAATCTAAAAGTAGGTTTTCGAAGCCAACAAAATGTGCATAATAAAAATATCATTTGTCTACTCTTTGGTTTTTTGAAAGAAAAAGTGTTACGAACTTGTAAAATACATAGATATTTTAAGTGCTCATAATTTAAATATATAGCATAGGTTAAACTTGGTGTGCTATGATTGGAAAATCTATATCCCTAAAAAGGCACATTGTAAGAAAATTATAAGTAGCATTTGGCAGAATTTTAAAGTTATGATTTGAAAATAGAGTTGTATTTTGAGTTTATGAGTTTTAAAATTATGATTTAAGTGTAAAAAATTTGTTTAGTTATGAGTTTTGAAAAGAGTTTTGAATTGAATTTGAAATTTTTGATGTGAAATACGATATTTGATTCAAAAACTTACTACTCATAACCAAACACACATTTCAAAATTCTATTCAAAGCTCATAAAAAATTTAAAAAAAATTCTGAAAATATATTTTTTTTAAATATAAAAATAATAGGTGAAAAAAAAAAAAAAAAAAAAAAAAAAAAAAAACTGAATTACTGTTTTTGTCACCGGCTGGAACGTCTAGGGACTCTCTGGAGGATGATCGGGGTAACACGTGTTTGCAAAGTGAGTGTGGTAAGTCAAATTTGACAAATTGTAACCAAAATTCAACACTCAAATCAGGATGAAATTAAATTAGAAAGCTGTACCAATAGAGTCATAATTTTTTTAGTAAAAGTTTTATTGCTTAAGCTTTTTCATTCTTGGCAAATCCCGTTTGACAAAACTCCTTTAAAGTTGTATTTGTTTCGCACTTTTTTATTTCCAGTGAGGCGCTATGAGTGTTTAAGTGCGATCCCAACCCGAATTGTGCCTTGCAGGAGAAGTTTGTGATGTTATATACTTTCAAGATTGCAACTTCAGCATAATTAGTGACGGGATCGAGCTGCCGCGGTCAAGCTCGCGGGGGTCCAGGGGGCAGCGCCCTTGGCGAGGTCTGGGGCAGCGCCAACGCAGCGGGGTCGAGGGGCAGTGCCCCGAAGCAAAATGAAAAATTACATTCAAAGTTGTATGTCCGCCTTTGCTCGCTCGAGCGAAAGAAACGTCCTCGGTC